TTAATTGCCAAAATTATATTTAACTTGATTTAAATTCCTTGAATTAAAATACATTAAAAAATATAATAATTTTATATATATTCATATAAAATATTAAAGAAATGAAACTTTTGACAAAATTACAATTTTTCAAAAAAGGTTTAATCAGGTATTACTACATATAAGTAATGTTAAGTAATATTTCAATATTAATTATGATTTTTTTATGAGTAAAGATGGGTACCATAATTAAGAAGTTGTAACTTGATAAGTTGCAACTTGGTTTTGGTTGCAACTCCTTGTAAATTTATTTTAATATAAAAATTCATAAAATATTGCAACTTAAAGTGTTGCAACTTAAATTGCAACTAGCTATAAATTTTAAAAATAATTATGGGAACTATTTTTATTTATGAGATTTACATAACAGGTTTAACCTTGGTATTTCTATAGTTCAACAACTTTTTTCATCTTAGAAATTTAATAAGATGAAGCATTTTTTGACTTGAAGGCACGAACTACTAGTTTTTGAAGAAAGGATCAAGGAAACGCCAAAAGAAATTTGAAATTTAGTTATAAGTGAATTTTTGAGATTGCATAAGACATCCTAACACATCACTAATACTAATGAAGCCACCCATTACAAATGTATTTCCTGTATTATTTATGGTGTGGCATCAATCTATGAGGGTGATATAAAGGTTTATTCCTAATACGAAATCTCTCAAGTCATAGCAAAGGTCCTATCGATTTAGTTATAAAAGTGATAAATATCATCATCACAGTTACTGAGGTGAAGAAAAAGGATATTAATCAAGGTATTGCATAGAATGCGATCCAACTTCAGACATATATTCAGCACAATCCCAAAAAATAAACTTATGATACAGCAGGTTTACATGAAGATATAATATATGGAATTGTATTAACTACTATAGATTGGGTAATAATCAAGCTAATTTTGTCTAACTCTGAAAATAATAGCAAAGGAAAGTGGATGTATTGTTAAGTTTATTGTTACTTTTTCTATTACCAATCAACAAGGCTATATTAACTTATAAAGATTTAGTGAAACATATCAAGGACTTGTTTTGGCAAATCAAGTGGGTGTTTGATAATCAGATCAAATTGCAGAAATTAACAAAGAGGGTAAAAACAGAATAATAAGATAGAATCATTACCATAGAAAAAATCGTTATGTATTCTGGGCTAAGTCCTAATCTTGTATTTATTTTTGCATATAATAATAAAAAAGATTTTTGGCAAAAGTAATCAGTGTAATAAATTATCATGTACACATGATTTTTTTATCTATTACTATACATCTATAACTATACTAACTCAAACTTTTAAATTATTTCATCTTGTATAAAAAAAAATTATTAAACATACAATCTGAGATCGATTCATTAAGAGAAGTAAATTCAAAATACTTAGCTGAGATTACAGAACTTAGAAAGAAGAATGCTAAAATCAAAGCTAAGAATGTGAAGTTAAAGCATGCTTTAGAAGAATATAAAGTCAGATTCATGAATTTAGAATAGAATGATAAAAAGATCACCCTTATTGTTAAATTAGATAATGATATTAGGAAAATCAAATAGGAACAAAATGCTATTAATATTTCAGCACAAAGCAATACATTCATACTAAAGTCTTCAAATCATTCAATAACTTTACAATCATCTATTTTGCCATCTATTAAGGTTTCAAAGCAATCAGATCATTCTGATCATTCTATTGAAAAAAATAATGCTGACCCTATATCTTAGGATTTCAATCCAATACTATTAGATCAAACTAATATATCTTCCATTGCAGTTCAGTATGATACTACTGAATCTAAATCATTGGAAGATGATAGAGAGACAGATTCTTTTTTAGATGAGATGTATAAGAAAAAGGTTAGTAATGAGATAAAGGAAAGAAAGCAAAAAAGAAAACTTCAGCATGGATTGACTATCCAGAACTCATTCTCAGTTACTCTAATCTCATCCAGTTTATTCACTAGTTCGTGTTTAGCATGTTTAGAGAAAAATGTTGAAAAACTATGTTTAAAGAAGGGAGATAAGTAAAACACTCTGTCATATCAAAAAATCCTCTATAAGCAAAAAGTGGAGTAAGGTTTTTAAGACAGAAACTATCATCCTTTTACAATAAAGATAGCAATGGCATGGTATTTGACATTCAGATTCCTGAATTTTTCTTAGAAGCAATTCTAACAGGGTCTTATAAAATTACAGCACAAACCATAGTCGATTTATTTAATGTAGTAATGAAGGTCAGACATAAGGAGATACTATGCTGGTATTGTTACTATAAAGTGTACGAGAATCAAATTAGGAATGTTAAATCTACAAATAAGATTGATGACCAATTGGTAAGAGCATTAGTATACAGTGAAATCAAATCCCTTCTTCTAGACATTACTGATATGAATTTACGTAAAATCACTTCTAGAACTAAAAAAGTTTATATATTATTTAAGGGGATAGGAATAAATAAAATTCAAACAATTACCTATAATGCAAGTGCTATTTCAAGTCTGATAGAAAGTCAGATCCAAGGCAATATAAGTTATTTTCCAAGACTTATAAGTCTTCTATAGATGATACAGATGAATGCCAAAAAATAATTAGAGTAACAAATTACCATGTACACATGACTGAATCTTCTGAGGTAAGTGTTTTAATTGCATCTATTCCTTTAATACACGTCTCTAAGTCTTCAATCCTAATCAATTCACCAGTTATCCCATATAATGCTTGTGCTCCCTATATTAATATGGCTTTAAAAGAATATTTCCACCTATTCTTATATAATAGTAACAGATATAATAATATATATAAATTTAAGGATTTAGGTTTATGTTCTGAATAGTATACCAGATATTTGCATAATTAATTATTACACAATAAATGTGTAATGTAACTATTTATATAGTTTAAAATAGTATATTGGTGTCAGATTTTTGATAATTGTTTTATGTAATGATAAAAAAAACTATGATACTATTATTGTAAATATTGTTTACAACATATTAATGAAAATAATCCCGCTAATCACATATTTTAAAATAAGCAATTCCGAATATTATAATGGAAAT